ACGTGTAGAGCCCCAAGGAAATATTACAAGAGAAAGAGGGAAAATATCATCCAGAACCAGATTAATACGTACTTGCAGCAAACCTCCATTTGATAGAGTAGTCAAGAATTGGAAGCGGCCGGGAGAAATGTGGCCAGCGAGGAGGAACAAAAAAACAATCGTGAGGTAATGAGGCGAGTGAAAAACCACGAGCCCAGTATTAAGATAACCCTTTTCTATAATGTCTTGCCTATCCTCCCCATCTCGTCTCACTTCCCCAACAACCCCTTTTTCTTGCAGCCTTACTTCATGAGAACAAACGGACCAAACGTCGCATGAAAAAAAAAAGCAAAAAAACTCCCGCACCAACCGACCGGATTACACGCACAGATACAGAGACAAAATGCACACATCCATTCAGCACAACATAGGCCCCCTAGTCCCATCCACGTAGTCTATCCATGTCCCAGAAGACTTCATTAAACTAGAACGTAGCGAGCTCGGAGGAGATATATTTTGACTTTGGATGATTGTGAGGCGCCTAAGCAGCAGCAGTTTGTGGCTGCACCGGGGCAGCAGCCTCGTTTGCTGGCTCTTCTGTTGTGCCAGAGGCCGCAACCTTCTTGGTTGGGAGAACCTTCTTAATGATGGCTTTCCTATGAGGGACGATGTGTGAGCAGCGTATTCTAATAGGGATAAAAGGGATTGCTTGTTTTGATGTGACGAAAAGTTTGGAGTGTCGGAAGGGGAGTTTACTCACAATTTGGTGAGCAAACTTTTCTTGTCAACCTTCTTGACGGCATTGGTAGTGGTCTTCTGATCCAAATTGTTATTAGTACTCCCCTTGATATTGAGCAAATAGCCTTCCATCGCAAGACGAGTTCCCAAGCCGAGCATATACTCACAACGTCGACAGCAGCGGTGTCTTCAGCTGGGGCTGGCTCAGCAGCTGGGACCTCAACAGGCTTGTTCTCGACTTCAGACATTTCGAATATGTTTGTTTTTGTGGGGAGCGAGTATTAAAAGGTATTAAGCTGATTAAAGGAAGTAGCTTTCCGACGAGGCTGTTGTATGAAAGGAGCGGAAGGCCGAAGTTTGTTCGCTGTTGAAGGTTGAGATGGGAACGAGGCAGAAGGGAAGAGGAAGCGGAGGGGTAGAGACGGGAGAGAAGGTTTTATGTAAGGCCGGAACGGTTCACTGTGCACCACCAAGCAACCCGAACGGACGACCCACAAAGACAACTTAGTTGCACAAGCACAACACGCAACAACAGTCCCATCACCCCCATTCCGCACCCAGCCAGTCCGGGACGACACCTCCCAGTCAGTCGAGTGCACGGTTAGTAGCGAGACCAGGTTCATGAAGAGGGTGCGATCACCAGAAACTTTAAGGACAAATTCAAAAGGCCGGAAATTTGAGAGGCGTTCCAGCGGCATGTCTATCGTTGGCAGGAGTCCCTATCCTTGCCACGCGCGAGTTGAAAAAGCAGCACGATATTTGGGTGTGTGAACCTCTCAGGTCAGATCCCCAATCGAACCTCCTTGTCAGTGGGATCAGCTTCCACGGCACTGCTTTCGGGACCACTCATGAATTACAGAAACGTTCAAAGTCTTGGGAGGCAAATGTGTTGGGTTTATCATGTTTCACCAACGCCAGCTTCATGCACCTCCTTTTTTTTCTTATTCCACAGCATCAAGATAGTGCAGTACAAGTATGGTATGCCTACCTTGCATACTTGACATGTACATTCAACATCTATTACATCGCCTACACCCGAGACCTTGACTCTTTTCAACTTCTCAGACAGGGGAGACAGGGGGAGACAGGGGGAGACAGGGGGCAGCACAGTTGGCTGGGGTTGCTGTAACGAATTAGAACGAGTTAGAATTGGTGTTTTATGGAGGGAAAAGTTCATATCAATAAGTCCTTATATTACTGTGGACGAGGACCATGATCACCGCGGTATTATAAGAGGTATTAATACATGAAGGGCGATTGGACGGCAGTTGTAGTAGTTTGGCTGTCGCTGTAACGACACGACTGAGCTAGACATCTTCACAAACGCTGGGGACAACACCCTCAATTTTCATTTCCCCTGCTTTTTTTAATAGCAAACTGAACCCCATCAGATGACAGTCCACGAGACCCCGTGTACTTCCATTACATTGTGGCTTATCAAAGGGGGAAAAAAATCCATTTTGTAACATTTATGCGTCTATGGAAGTTCGCCTCCCAAACTAGAACTATACCGATAAATTGGGGGGAGGGGTTTGGTTGACGAAGGGAAGATTCAGGGTAGGGCCTCCGTTGGAGATGATCCTGCCAAGGGTCATTACCTGTAAACTGCAAGGCCAGGTTGCAATGCAAATCTCCCGATGGCTGGCTATACCTGAGAAGTGCATAGTCTGGTTGTACGGTACCTTAGAGGCGGAGCCTCGGAGCCCTCGCTCGAAGAAACCTTTGCCCCATCAATTCGAAGCCCGGTATTCCAACCTTCCATTTGTTTGAACCACTTGGAAGAAGGAACAGTAGGTAGGTACGTTGCCGAGTGACTTTGACTCTCTTTAGATTACCTATCCCCTCCTCCGTGCACGCGTACCCAGACCCTCGTAGAAGCACACGACCGAGCAAGGAACTTGTCCCCTGGTTATGAGAATTGGTATGATGTACAAGCTTTTGTTGAAAAATTTTCCCGAGGCTTTTGCACTCGAGGCTTTTTGCACTTTCCCTCAGTTGTTGTATTATTGTGTTTGTGCGTTTTCCCTAATTTCCGCCGCATCAGAAAATAGCTCAGAAAAAACGGGTTTGACATATGCGTTTGGGGTTAGTTGGGCCGAACCTGGTTATCACGCAAGCGAACAAACAAACATTATTTTTTATTGATTGGCTTGGATTCAAATACCGTAATCACGAGCATTGCTCTGGCAACGTTATTTCAATGGGGCTTGGCAAATATATATAGGGAGGCGCAATACTAGTGTAGGTGGTGCAACTTTGTCTCCGTGGGTGAAGAATTTAACTATAGGCAGAGAGGATGGTGTATTTTCTCAATTGTTCTATAAGTGGAGAATATATCCTCTAACAATGATTGTTTTTCAAGCCATAGGAACTACCCTACCAACCACAGTGATTTTGCTTGAGGGGAGGGGCCGCGACTCCTTATCTGTGATTGTGCTTGTACCCCTCGGTATAGCCAGACTAGGTACCTATGCTCCATATGTACAGTATGTATCTCCTCCTGGGGAGGGGCTAGTGCAAGCCAGACTATATGTATCTAGTATGTAGATATGTAGGATGTATGTATGTATGTATGTATGTATGTATGTATGTATGTATGTATGTACATGTATGTATGTTGGACATGTAAAGTGCCACTACCGCTTCGCCTGATAGCAGCGTTCCATTTTCACCCATGCTCATTTTAACTAGCTTTTGTTGATAGAACCTTGTGGACATAGTCTGGTTGGCACAATCCCCCCGCCAAATTGTGGAGACATGCTCTGGTCGTCTTAATCGGGAAGTAGCTATACCTATGATAGTATAGGGTACCTATCAGCTATTAAGCATAGTATCTACTGATCATGCGGTACCTACGAACGTAGTCTCGATCCTACGAACGATCCACAATATCAATATCAGCGCTAGACACCCCTGTGTCTGCATGGAAGATGCGGGGAGGAGGGGAAAGCGACATCCCACTGACGTTCGACCAAGGATTATGATAATTGCTTTCACGTGCATACGTCGAAAGGCGGTACCCGCTATCTACTTATCATATTGCTTTTTCTGTATATCACGTTCCACTTCATTTATGTCTCTTAAGCCACACAGCTGGGCATAGATATGGAGGTGCGGGGGCTTGAGGATACCCTGCTTTCGGCGGAGGTGCTCTGATTCCAAAAGTTTCCATTTACCCAATCATCGAGTCTCCTCATTACTGGATGTAGGTATCTCTCATGGATTGTTTCTCTCAGTAGAATTTGCCTAGTGATGGACCAATCCCCACTTAGCCTGATGATTATGAGACGGAGTCTTCAGGGATACATATACAGTTTGCGGAGTCTAACAGGCAACTCCACCCGGGGCTTGAGAGCTCGTTCTCCATTCTCTCTCTATTCGGAATACTGCATACTTCACCAACACATAAGGCCGGGATGCTGGAATAGACGGCAAGAGAGATGGACTGTATATCACTGTCTTGCTTCAAGTCATCCGTCGATCTGGAACCTCTCACAATGGGGATGTGAAGGCGGGGTACTGAATCAGATTTGATAGGCCAGATAACATGGCAAGTTTGACAGATTGCCATCGAACGTCCACGTGTCTCAATGTCTGCCTAGAAACTCCGATGCTTGAAGGCAGGTATAGGAAGTACCTAGTCTGGCTTGGAAGTACCCAGTGCCTAATCTAACACCTTAGTAAGTTCCTGACCCACATGGGAACCTGTCATCAATCAGGTGGCTTTCCATCCCACCAGTAGTTGAGACAACGTTTTTGGGGTCGGCTTGTGACCAATATTACATTGGGATCAAGATTTTTGTTTCAAACGGCTTTGGAAACCTGACTAAAACGTCATTGAGCTGCTATCAAAAGCAAATTGGGAAAAAGTGCAAGGAGCTCCATTCCAGATATTCAACCCCTTGCGTAAGCAGAGCTTTCAAGTGATATAATAAGTACTTGTGTACGGGGGGGTTTCTATAAAGCACAACTTGTGGGTATTGAGAAATAAATACTCGCGAATGGCATGATAGTTACGTGTGCAAGCCGATTTAGCGTTATGGAATTGACCCTGCTGGGTGCAAAAGATCCTAGCACTATATCCTGGTCCGAGGATTGACGTTAGCTGCGGATTCTGAGACTGGGGTGGAAGCCCAACGGTAAACTGGTTTCCTAGCAGACGAGATGTATAATCTTCCGTCATAGAGAGTGGGGACAGACATCAGTAATCTCAGGTTTACACTCTAAATACCCAAACAGTGTTTGTGCATAACTACTCTTGAGTAATAAAAAACAAAAATCTACGGTACTAGAAAGACTCGAACTTTCAACCTCCCGGTATCATTAACGCACACCAACCCAATCATGAGTAGTGCGCTATTAACAGCCGGACGCGCTAACCAATTGCGCCATAGAACCAATGATAGATTCATTGTCTACGGTGTCAAATATTGCGGTTGTTAGTGCGGTTGTTTACTTACAACCACCAGAAAGGTACCCGGAAAGCCTCTCTGATTGACCACGAGTCGACAAGCCAGTAAGTAAAGCGGACATTTGAAGCCATGTTGAGGGACTGCTAGCTAACAATAATACAGCTAGTTACATGCTCACGATTGATAATCCTTAAGCAGTAAGGAGATACTATTCTTCTCCTTAGAACATATCGAGTACCCATACAGCTGCCAGCGAGGAGGGGGGAGATCAAATCTCGGGCACCGGTCACGTGTAGGAAGGAACTGAGGTTTACACAGGGCGTGAACAAGCCAATATGGTTGAGACTGTGTTGCTATACCGGACCTTGCTATAGCCGATCCATCTATATACCAGATGGGCCAGATTACTGAGGTGTTCATACCAACAAATTTCCTATAGGAGTGCAGGGTCTTCTTGTAGGATATAGGAGGATATTTTGTTCAGCGGTAGGTCGGACTGGGACGTTCGAGCTGATATTGAAATCTCGAGGTTTCGTATCTTTGCTAGCTACATGAATGTGCCTTTCGCTCTTATACTGCTCGTTTCGATCTATGTACAGGATTTATTCTGCCTTATATACCCAATTTATGTACACTCACATGAATCAGATGGAGATTCCAGTGCTTGCCCTGTACTTCTCAACCCCCATCCCCTTACATTTTATGCTGACTGGAGATATCTCAATTTGTGGGCAAAATTGTGTCGTCGTCCCAGCGAACTGTTCCTGGTACACCAGGGGGGTCGCGCAAAGGAGGCTGAGGTCATTCGCCTTCTCCTGACCGATAGAGAGCCTGAGACAGGAGTTCCGTTGCTTACAGATCTTTTCCGATGTCGGTCAATCCTGATTTTGAACCCTGGGTTCCGATTCATAACCCAAACCTAGGCAATTGAAAGGGCTTTGAACGGACCAATCGAAATATATGTTGGACAATGTAGCTCTAACCAAGGAATGACCTTTTTTTAAATAGGCTCGAACATATAAAGCGGGTTACAGAAATCGAAGAAGTAACTGACACAGATGGTATTGTTCGAAACAATGTTGCAAAAACATCTGTACAGACTGTAAAACTGACGGCAGCGACCACTGACAACCAATAAGATATAGGAGGATCGCAAATTGGCTGTGTGTGTGGCCATGCCAGCAAGCGTCTCAGATCCAATAGTATCTTCGAACAATCAGGTTATGGGCCCCCTATTGACTACCAATACGAGCGGGAAGGAAACGATTTCGCTAATGTTATGTACTGCTATTCCTTTCTTCTGTGTATGTGTTGTGTATTTCCCTATGATTATTTCCTATGTTGCAATATCTCCGGCCGCTCCCATCGACCTTTCCGAACGACACATTCTCCATCTTCTTCACTTCCTCCGATCTCTCCAAATGACTTGCAGCGCGGACTTACCCGAATGCCATGGGAACACAAGCTGCTCAAATATACCCTCCGATAGTGTTCCCATCGCATCAAACTCCGACAATCCGATTGAGTGGTATTAATGCTCCAGCAGGGACCCGACCGAAAGAAAGGAGGCTTGGAACACTGGAGGCCGCTGATTGACATCGGACAGAACGCTGTAAGTGGCTGGCTGATCGGACGGAACATTTGACTGGTCGGGTGAATCGGAATCAAGATGAGATCTCGGAATCGGTGTCGGAAGTGGGCACAAAATCAGGATCGACTGACATCGGACGATGGATAGGAAGCTCTGTGGGCAGCAATGGAACTCCTATAGCAAACTCTCATCAGCTAGGGCAAGGCGAGTGACCTCAGCCTCCTTTGCGCGGTGTAGATGCGCAACGCATGAACAGTCAACAAGACTTAGCTGATTCCAGGGTCTATTTTTGTTGAACAACAGGCAGAATAACTGTCTGGCATGATGGTTGCAGGATGAACCGTAGCTGTGAGTATAGTTGGGGGTAAGGGGTTTTGGATGATGATACCGGTGGATGACGTTGCGGCAGCGCGTGACTCCGGCGCTAGAATATTCTTTACCCCACGCCGTGTACATAGTATTTACCAACCAATAACACTTCAGTTCGCTATGACAACGACATTTGGGTTCCTCAGGACCTGCGTGACTGGGTATGGACTTAGGCTGTATGGACTTAGGCTGTGCATGGGGTGGGGCAAGGGCTGGCTTGAATAACTTGAATGAGGCGCTGAAAATCGGATTAAACGCCTGGGTACAATTGGGACAAACCCCCGGATCGGCTACTACGAGGCATATTTGTGTAGGGCACCATTTGGCGTTCCTTCAAGGTTACCTGATACAATATCATGTCTGCTACATGGCCTCATTCAGTTTGGCGAAGGAACTTCGCCTGTCCATGAGGCACAGAAATATTATTATACCCGTGAGACTCGAGCCGGCGGTACAAAGAAGGGTATTTGCGGGACATGGTTGGAAATTTATTGCAATAATACTGAGTTATTTGCCAATGCAGCTGATCCGTTAACGGTACAAGCGGTATCGAACGGACAGGCGTTCGCATATTTACGAGTTATCTGTGGGAGTTAAGTATAATTCAGACGGTGAGTGACTAAATTTATCCACTTAATGGACAGAGAGAGTGCTGATTTGCTGAAGTGGATGACCACGAGTGATATTGAGGCATCGAAAGCTCATAACTGTAATGGAAGAAGTGGTCTTAAGCCAGAGAATATGAGACTATTATACCCACCAGGCCGCGATTTGGGGTTAGGTGCTCAGGAGCATAAAGCTGTTCTTGAGTTTGATCAAGAAAGATTGCAACGAAGATGGCAAAGAACATCAGAGAGGGAGAGAAATATAAATAACCACAAAGCTGGGACATGCGCATGGATACTTGCGGATCCTACGTATCAAAGTTGGTTGAGTGGTCAAAAAAGCAGCCTATTGAGGATTTCCAGTATCCCAGGTACATGGTATTATCTTTCAACAAGGGGCATGTGCTGACCTATTTATATTGGATAATTTAGGGACCGGGAAGTCTGTACTCTCTGCTTTCTGATACTAGTATTGTCACCGAAGAGGAGCATAAGAGCATAGGTATCCACTTTTTTGTTATAAATGCTACGAAACCAATGACCTCGTTAGAAATAACTTTTTACCAGATGCCCAGTCATAGCCCACCACAAACCTTACTAGCGGAGACTGACAATACTTTCTCAGGCTAGCCCAGCGCAACACGTCTTAAAATACTTTAGAAGATGGAAATTGCTCCAAAGCATGCTGGAATTGCTTGAGGACAATGTAACGGCTTTCATTGTTATTGATGCATTGGACGAATGCGAAGAAACTAAACTGTTGGAACACCGGACTATGATAGAAGCATGGAATTTGAAGTGCACGGTAAAAGTTCTGTGCACTAGTCGTCTGAAACCAGATATTGAGGCAACACTTGCTACTGCATCCAAAATCAATATGAATGCTGCTCAGGTCTCGGAGAACATTAGGATCTATGTGCAAACGAAGGTTCAGGATTAAGCACGCCTCAGAGCGGATCGTTGAGCCTGCCGTTCGCATCTCTGCAGGATGTCCGTCATGCAACCCTCATGCTTGAGACGTTTCCAAGCCATCGAAATTAAGGCTACAGCACAAACTTGCTACACTCCCCTCTGGAATATATGAGCTATGAACTTATATTAGCTAAATGCTAGAGAAGTCTCTTGATTTCAGGCAGTCCTTATTCCCTCTCACATATGGAGCTGAATTTATCCGAGTTGGGCGCAACTGAGGGAGTAGAAGAGTTTGATTTTGACGACCATGTTGAGATTGATTGAAACTGCAGATGAGGTACTGCAGGAATGTGGATCGCTGTCGAAGTTGACGAGAGCCAAGGGTGCGGTTTTCACACCTAACTGTCAAGAATTTTTGCTACTCGATCTATCAAAAAGACGATGAAATCGAAGGACGAAACAGTATTGACTTGTTTAGTTAACAGAAAGAAAGCAAACTGATGGCTTGTACGACAATCTGTATGTTCCCCTTCCGCGGCTTTTGCAAAAGTCTAACATAAGTTATCATCTGTTTAGTTACGACGCTCAACACAGGAAGGTTCCCAGGCAAATATTACATTGAGGTTAATGACATTGATCGTGGCGCCAATGGGAGTGGGGGGTGGGCGGCCAAGCCTGTCGGTGAGCAATCGGGAAGGGGAGAAGAAGAGCAGAAGGAAGAGGAAAATTAAGAAGAAGAAGAAGATCAGGAAGAAGAGGAAGATCAGGAGGAAGGGGGGAAAGGAAGATGGACCAGAGGACCAGGGACAAGTAGAAACTGAGCCAAACATGAAAGAGAATGTCGCGGAGGTCAACAATGATGAGAAGCATGTGGTGATTCGCGCTGATCTCGCAGCTAATACACAGGGTGTAGCATCATATGGTTACGCAAATCAGGGGCTGACACAAGAGCTTGCTTGACTCATGCTGGTCAGACGCCAACAGCATTATACGCTGGTTTTACTGGTTACATCTATGAAACGAGATTGCTCTGCAATACCAGCTTTGGTTTATCCAGTTACAAATTGGATGTCCCATCTTAACCAACGGTTACCAACGCTTTTGTGTGATACTGAATGGATGATGATAAGCTAAAGGGATCCCGTGATCAACTTCACCCTTGTGGATGAATTTCTGGTCACCGATTCTCCGCACGCTCTCGTGGCTTCATTGTTTTTTATTTTTGTTTCATGTTATAAGTAAAATTCATGTTCGTCCGCGAACCACAGAATTACAAAATGGGGCTGGTCGCCGCTGCATTACGCTGTCCAAGGGAGGAATCAGATCTTGACGTTTCCGCCTCGTGTTGAACGCAGGCGGTGATGTTCACAACTCAGATAATTATGGGAATACATCCATCCATGAGGCTGCAGGGCATGGACTTCCGGTCTCGGAGTTGGCTACTCTCCTCGGGTTCGCAGGCCCGAGGTATTTACCGCTCTGAATAACGAAGGAGACACGCCCTTTAAC